CTCGGGGAGCGGGGTGAGCGCGGCCGCCTGCCGAGAGCCCAATTTCCCCTCAGCCTGCGGGGCCGAGACTGCCGCGGGTCGCTGGGTTGAAGTCCTGTGTGGAGTTCAAGAGCGACAGGTACCCATGTGCTGGAGGGAGATAGTCGCGCAGCCTTGAGAGGAGTAAAAGCTCTTCGTTCTCCTCCAAGAGAAAGGACGTACTTGATGATCTATTGACCTGTGAGGTGAAGCCAGGATGGACCTTCCACGTATGGGGCTCCCGCCTCAAATCCCAGCCCTGGATATTCCTCCAGATGATTCAACTGGTTTCTTTAGCAAAGATTTGAGCACCACGGAGAGAGCAGGGTCACCTGCCCAGGAGTTAAATCCCCCGGACTCTTTCTGCTTCTTAGTGGTTGTTCTCTCTGTCTCATGGGCTCATTCTCTGGGACTGGGCATTCTCTGCTTCCCAGGCAGCCTTGCTTCCTCTTTTGAGTACACACTTCTGCAAAGAGAGCCAGGGTGGTGGTGGTGGTGGGGTCAAGATACACCAAGGACCAAGACCTTCATTGGGCCCACCCCAGGGGCGAAGAGTGAAAACACACCCAATTTCTCTTCCTGTTGCTCCAGCTTCACAGCTGTGGCTGCATGGGTGTGTAGGAACCCAAAGTCACAAATGGGAGACTCAAGTCCGAAGGGAGTTAAACAAGCTAAATGGATAATGTACTCGTGTAGGGAGTCTGACACTGCCCAGCCCTCTATGTCCAAACCCAGAGAGCTCTGCCTTGTGCAAAGAGAAAGATGCACCTAGGCTCCCCCTTCAAGATAGACTTGTGGATCTGGCTCAGCAGCACCTTTCCTCTTTCTCCCCCTCTCCTTGACCTGGTTTCACCCACTCTATTCCTGAGCTGTTTTCCGGAGGTTGCAGCAAACATCCCAACCACCTATTCGCTTGAGCAGCAGAGGCTCCAGAGGTGGGTGGATTATGGGTGAGGGTGGTATCCTGCCATCAGTCATCATCACAAGATCAATCTGTGGTTAATCTTTGGTGGTGGCCCCACCATGGGCCAGCATGTACCCTCCCCCAGTGGGGCTCCTGCCTCAAATCCTGCCCTAAATGGACCAGAAGGACCATTTTGGCTGCCTGATCAAGGAGTCTGTGTGAGGGCTGTACTGACAGGGCCGTCCTGCTTCTTTCTTTGAAGGCCTATGGTGTCTCTGGTCTTCCCATTTGGTGAAATTTTCAGGGCTTCTGGGAGATTCACATAAGTCATGGAGGTGCTAGCCAGCCTGAGACTTTCCAGGCTTGAGACCTGAATCCTGTAACCTGAAATGAACTAGACTTAGGGCAGTTGTCTCTCCCAGTCTCAGCTGCCCAGGATTAGATTATTCTTGTTATATTCCTATTCCTCCTGCATCTCAAGTTGCAGCCCCACCCCAGCCCCTGAGCTAGTCCTTGGCCAGCCTCTATGGGCCAGGCTACCAGCAAGACAGTGTGGGATCTAGTCCTCAGCCCAAGGCTGGCTTCATTAATGTTAGAAGGTAGAATAAAGTTAGAAGGCAGAATCCTTAGGCTGAGTAGTGGAGGGAGCAGTGGAGGGAATTCCAAAGAAGGGTGGAAATTCTGTGCATAAGGAACTTGTCTGACACTTAGGGAAGGAAGGGCAGCAAGAGAACAGAAGAGAGAGAGGTTAAGGAAGGGGAACAGAAGTGTGAGGAGGAAGTAAGACTACCAGGCAGGAGGCCCTGGGTTCAGGAAGTCAGCAGGGAGGTTAGGACAGCAGGAGTGTTTAGAGGAGACTGTTTACTTATTGCCGGTCTGAATATCGTTTTTGTGTGCGTGTGTGTGTGTCAGAGTTATCTTTACTATTAAAATATTAGCAAGAAGGCATATTCCCACTGGATGATTAATGTATTTCTACAGGACAACTAGAAGAAACCGATTCCTCTCACCAAAATGAAAAATCTTTCTTTTTTTGGTACCGGGGATTGAACTCAGGTCCTCGTGCTTGGGAGACAGGCAGCAGAACCACTGAGCTAAATCCCGGGCAACTACATTTTTTTTTTTTTTTGAGACAGGGTCTCACTATGTAGTTGAGACCGACCTGAAATTCGCTATGTAGCCCAGGCTGGTTTGAAACTCACAGCAATCCTCCTGTCTCAGCCTCCCGAGCGCTGGGATTAAAGGCGTGCGCCCGCCACCACGCCTGGCTGAATATCTTTTAAAAATGTTTTTATTTGTTGATGTTTGCAATATATCATGATGACATTCAGTTTGGGTTACTGAAATATGTCCCTGTCTCATCCTGATCAGTGTTACTCTCCCATCTCCCCCCTCTTCCCTCTCTCTCTTTCCCCAGACCCCTCCACCTCTACAAAGACTACTTGCCTGTTTCTTAACATGTGTCTTATTTTTCTCTTTAGATTATTTATAATTTGGATCTCTCACATTAAAGAAACCATGAAATATTTACCCTTCCATAACTAATTTATTTCATTTAATGTTACGGTCTCAAGATCCATTCATTTCCCTACAAATGACTCAAATTTATCCTTCTTTATTGCACACACACACACACACACACACACACATATATATATATATGCCACTTTTTCTTTAAAAATAGACACATCTCAGAAGAAGTAAAGTAGCTAGTAAATATAATGAAAAATGTTCAGCATCATTGGTTATTAAAGAAATGCAGATCAAAACAATACTGAAATTCTACCTTACCTCATCAAAAACATCTATAATCAAGGATTCAAAAAATAATAAATGCTTGTGAGGTTGTGGGGGAAAAGGAACCCTTCTATGTTATTGGGAATGCAAACTAGCACAACTCAGTGGAGACTTTGGACAGGCCGCTCTCAGGTACATGGGAGTCCTTCCTGTAACCTTCCTTCTTCTCAGGTCTCTGGAAAGGTCTGCTCATGAATGCTTAGTGTGAGTGAGATTCTTTGTTTTTGTTGTGGTGGAAACTGGTGAACAAGCTGTGATTCATATCTGGATTGACATAATGCTGAGCAGAGACCCCGGAGAAGCAAGAAGAGGCCATGAGTGCCCAGATGTCCCAAGAGTCTGCTGAAGTCTGGGACAGGCTTCGGACCATCATAGGCTCAGAGGCTGGGTGGAAGATGCCATCTGATCTAGGTCATGAGGGCAGAGACACTCACAGCAGATGTGCAGGTGACACCAACAAGGAGAATGTTGTTCTCTTTGCTACTAGTATTTTAGGGGTTGAGGCAAGACTTTCCCCAAGAAAAAATGGAAGCCAGGAAAATACAATATGCTCTGAAATATAAATATGTAATAGAACAAAGAAAGATGCACCAACTCATTCATTCAAGAAGCCAAGAACAAATCTCTCTGTCTCTCTCTCTCTCTCTCTCTCTCTCTCTCTCTGTCTCTCTTTTTCTTTCTGAGACAGGATCCTGCTATGTAGTCCAGGCTGGCCTCAAACTCACAACTGATACTCCTGCCTCAGCCTCTTGAATGCTTGGATTACAGGCATGCACCACCACACCCAAGAATCTATTTCTTTCAAGTGTTTACCAGTAGATGGGCCATTGTTACTTTCAGGGTGAAGCCCAAGTCCCCTGGCCTGATTACAAGCAATTATCCACTGACTTTATTTCCCAAGTATAGTTGCAGCCAGGAAGAAAATGTGCCAGTTACTTGGACACCTCAAGTGATTTCTCTTGGTTAATCAGTAAATTAACATTCTGGCTTATCTAGCAGCATTTCTAGTTTGGTTGCCATGGGTCTCTTATCTGGGAACTGACTTCCCTCTCTAAGGGCTGATGAAATGAGGTTTTTTATTGTCAGGCTGAGAACTGGGTCTGTCTATAGCCAAGGCATCTGTGTGGCTCATGGACCCTCATGGGAAATTATTTCACTGGCCTTTTCCCAGAGCTGGTGCCCTCACATTGCCCAATATTACAGATGAGGAAACTGAGACCAAGTTGACTGCATGAGGTCTCACAGGTTCCTAGATTTGTGTGGCTTCAAAGTCTATGCCTACTTTCACAGTGCTCCAGTTATGAAGTCTTGATAGAAGAGAGCTACATTTGGTTGTTGTATATATTTTTTGTCACAACAGGGAGCCTATTTCTAGTTAAGCTATTTTCAAAATCGTTGGTTCATTTGTTCATTTGTATATCATCCATCCAGTCATTCGTCCATGCAGCCATCCGTCTATCCATTTACAAGAATTTATGGAGTATCAGGCCCACTAGTAGGTAAAAGGGATACAAAATCCTTTGCTCTTAAGGGTATTTCAGTCTGAGAAGTTATCTAAAGATACTCATAGTTCAACAGTATAAATTTGGTTTTACATATGATATCAATGAAGTCATGCCATGCCGCCTCTTTCATCAAAGTCTGGCATATGGGATTCGTCTCCACCCCAGGGTCTGCTACCAACCAGATGACCTCATACACAACCTTTCAACACAGTAAAAGAAGAAAAGCCCTGGTTGTTTCTATTGTCTGGCAAACATTGATTCTGCTGGTAACTACACCCCATGTTTTCTCTGATGAAAATCTTTAAGCCCTCTCAGTTCATGTTTCCAGATAGGTCTGACCCCCCCAAACACACACACACACACACACACACACACACACACACACACACACACAGTGGATCACAAGCAGATACGAGACTCAGGGCTGAGGATCTGGCTCAGTGGTTTCACCACCTGCCTCATAAGCATAGGGTCCTGAGTTCGATCCCCAGTACAAAAAAAAAAAAAAAAAAAAAAAAAAAAGAAAAGAGAGACAGATTTGTCCAAGCACAGGATCAAGTTTTGCTACCACTGAGAGAAGCTTTCCTGAGATCAGAGCCAACGTAGAGGAGAGAGG